TCTATTCTGAGGTGTGTTAGTACTACTAATTTTTTTTTTACCGGACTAAAATTACCTCTAGCAAAAAAGTTTTTTTTTTTTTTTTTTGGTAAACTTAAGCCCACCAAAGCTCACATCTGGATCCGCCCTTAATTGATTGCTTCGAATTCGAATTTAAGACTCCATTTACTAACTCACGGACAATTTGATTACCCACATTAACAAGATCACGCCCCCTCGAGCTTGTACACATGCTTCTAGAGAAGATAGACTCATTACATTAATATATGTATCTATATACATACAGGGGCGTAACTTATTGTGGGCTAACCTGGGCTATAGCCCAGGTTAAAAAAAAAAAAAAAAAAAAAAAAAAAAAAAAAAAAAAAAATTTAGTACTACTACCTCCTATCAGGCATAGTCCAGCCCAATCAGTCATAACTCAGCCTATGCTCAATCCATAATAAAACAAAAATAACAAATGGCCCAGCCCAGCAATGAGCAACTCTTTGAACAAAAGAAAGAAACAACAGGCTAATGAAATCTCACTTATCTTATAAGAGAATATTCATTCCATTCAAATAGCTCTTTTGGTGTAATCAAAGCTAACATTGTTTGTTTGTTTGTTTTTTTGTTTTTAATATATATGACATATCTTTGTCATAAGTAATATTGTGTTCATCTTTAAATTTTCGTATCTTTAGCCCCTCTCACTTTGCAATCCTAACTCCATATATATATATATTGCAATTTGTCATAAGTAACTGAAGTAAAGGTTAGTTTGGTGCGGTGGAATGAAATGGTTTTTTTTTTTTTTTTTCCATTCTCGTGTTTGGCGCCAATTTTAAAATTGAAATTATTATTCCCCACTATTCTTGAAGAATGGTCATTCAATTAAAATCATTACATCTTCAAACAAAAGGAATAATCATTCTATTCAATTCTCATTCTATTCCCACCTCTATTCTCATTCCATTCCAATTCATTCCACCACACCAAACTAGCCATAAGAATCAAATGAATTGAAAGATTTAAGTTTGGTTGGGAAATGAATCATGGAAGTTTTTAAATGAATGAAAAAACAAGATGCTTCTCGGTCTACAAAGATATAATATGTAAACACCAATTCAATTAATCTTACATGTTCTCTTACAAACTTCTTCTTCTTTTTTTTTCTTTTTTTTTATCTCTCCAAAAGTAAAACACTATTCATTGCCAACTTAGATTTTCTATCTGATAGTTATCTTATCTTATATTGCGTAATATTTTTGAAGAATATGCTGAATCGATTGCTTAAATCACTTTTGTATAGACTGGAATGAAATATAAACATCTTTATATTTTTGAAAACGAAATTTCTAATTCTAATCCTTACTTTCTTTTTTTCATGTTATGTTTTATAGCTCAGTTTGCTAGATGTGTGGGCAACATATTTATAGCTCCCTTTCACCTTCTAATTTTTTTAAAAGAAAATTCTACAATTCATTTTTAAATATCTCATAATATCTAGAAGAATTTAGAATAGATTTTGCAAGCCTTCTAGATATTTTCTCAAGATTTTTCATTCTAAAAATGTGTACTACATTCTATTATTTTTTGTAAGTAATAAGATATAGAAGAGAATTTAGTCATTCAGATAAACTCTAGAAGTTGGGTGAAGGAGAAGAGACAAAATAAATTAGTCAAACTCACTAGCTTCCTTGTGATTACTTTATTTTCCATCCCAAAAATTGGTTTAAGAAGCATAAAAAAATTTAAAAAAAATAATAATAAAAATAAAAATTGATTTGAAATTTCAAAGATGTGATGACAAGAATACAGCCTCAACCGTTGTATTGAATTGATGAACCTTTGACACAAATGTCAAACTCAGAGAAATTTTCACAAAAGTAGCATTTTGGCAGCTTCTCAATCCAACTGTTGCTATCGCTAAGCCTTTTGAGTCAAAGTGAAATGGTCCCATTTGGACACAATTGGTTTATGTTATAAGCCTAGTAAGTTCTTGTTTTTTTAGAATTTAAAATTATACAAAAATTATACAAAAATTTGTTTGGTTGATAATTTTTTAAATTATTTTATGAAAATTAAATTGAAAAAATCTCTTTTCAGAAAAATATCTTTTATAATTCTCTTAAAATAGGATCCTTATAATGACTTGGTTCATTCGTTTTCAAGATTGTCTCTTTTCATGCAAAAGCTCACCCACTTTATTTTCCATCCCCAACATTCATTCGTTGGTTGAAAAAGATTGGAAAAAATTAAAGAAAGATTTGCAGTTGAGTCCTACTGTCCCACTAGATTCCCATTGAAGGGTTGTGGTTGAAAACACACAGCAGTGTGTGTTACAATGCCGGTCATTACAATGCTAAATGACAATGACGAGGATTTGACTAAAATGCCAAATTTTTAGAAATTTCCACAAAAAGTGGTATTTTGGACACTTCCTCAATCCAATCGTTGTCCATGTTGATTATCATAATATAGTCTTGTTAATCGAGAACATATTAGAAAAGAATGAGAAAATAACACTTGCTTTATATTGTTTTAATATATATATTTTTTTTCCCCCAAAGTAAGGTTTTGTAAGAGAAATGTACAGAAAACGAAGTGAAATTAGCGAAGTTTTTTTTTTTTTTTTTGAAAGTTAAAGTAAATTATATCGAGAGAAAAGCAGGCTAGCAATAGCTAACCCTGTACAAAAAGCCCGAAGGCAAGCAGTGTGAGAGAGGCCCAAAATACAACATAAGGCAAAATGACCCAGAGGGATGAGCCCAACATGGTGTACAGCCCAACCCTGCACAATTCAAATGCCATAACCGTTACTGGCCAAGCAGCAATTCCGGCACTGAGGGAGAGAACTCCAACCAAATCACGATGATTTCAGATGGTGAGGTCAGGTGGTTTCGCTGGAGGTTGTATCACTGATTCAGGTAATTCCCATTCCTCTCCGATTCGTTTTCCGTTGAAAGTATCCGAGATTGTGGAGGTAAGCAGCTTCGATCTAATTGTTTGCAAGGTTTGATGGAGAAGAGAATTTGCTGATATTGCTTTCTTTTGGAAAATCCTGCGGTTGCGCTCATTCCAAACATGGTAGACCGAGGCTGCAAGACACATCTTGGATATGGAATAAGTATGGAAGTCTGAGAATCCCCGCCAATGGTGTGAAGTCCATCCTATGAGGACTAATGTCCATGAAGAGGGTTGAATGTTGAACCCGCAAGGGGCTTGTATAAATGACCACAAGGGTTTGACACAGGGACATTTGAAGAAGAAGAGGTGGTCATGGCTTTCCAATTCAGAGTTGCAAAAGGTGCACATGGTGGAGTTAATATGGGATGTACACCTTCTGTCAAGGGTGGGCAGTTTGTTTTGTATTGCAACAAGGAATGTTTTGGGATGGAGGGTTTTGTCCAGACTAGGTGAGTCCAAGGTAGAGTGGTGTGATGATGGTAGAGTGGAGTTAAATGGTTGATGTATTTAAAATATGTTAATATATGTACAATATTACTGTTATCTGAATTTAATTACAAATATATATATTTAATATGTTACAAAGAATAATTGTCAAATATAAAGGATGTATAAACCATGGTTTGCCGATGTCTATTTGTAATCCGTTTTCAAAGATTACACGCTATGTTATGCCACAGAGGCGAATGCAAATCGTGGTATAAACGACTCAGAAGCCTTCAAATTGTATCAGATCAAAATGGTATACTCTATTTATTAACAATGGGACTACAATAACAACATTATGCAAAGGAAGGGTACGGTTTAAGAACAGAACCAAAAAGAAAAAATAGTGAAAAACATGCTAAAAAACATTTGAGCCAACCAAAATTATCAAACATTTAAAAACCAAGTACATCAACAAACCCAAAAAGAAATTATCAACAACACAGTAGCATGGTTTAAAAAGCCGATGAGAGCTTAAAGAGTCACAGAATTACTTACAGCACCACAACATTGATGCTTTCTGCTTGGGTGTCAATTATATAGGTTTTGGTGGAAAGGATATAACATTCGACACTCAATTCTTGTTTCTCCTTGTCAAGCCGTTTCGAAACTCGCATGCTCTCGCATCGAAGCAAATGTTGGCGGTCAATCCAAATCAAGTAGAACTCATCACCACGAATATACACAGTTCTGACTGTTTGTTAAGTCGCCCATTCGCCCGAATATACACAGTTCTGTCTACCTCCTCCGGCTGAGACCTGTGGATCCAGAGATTGCCTTGTTCCCGTATTTTTTCATTAGCAATAGTCCCATGGCCGTCGCCATCAGTCTTCCACCTGCCCTCTACTTTTAGGGTTTCGCTCGTCAATTGGACGATTTGGGCCATTAAATTAATATATACACACATACGATGACATTGTATTTTTAGGATTCTGTGACCCCTATTAGATGCTAAATTTGTTTCTACCCTTTATTAATTACCATTTTGATATAAAATATCTTGTACGTATTATAAAATACTTGTATTTATTTTCCACCTTCTAATTTTTCTAACTCCTTCCTAAATAATTCTATTCTTACAATCAATTATTATTATTTTTTTTTAATCTTATTTCTTATTATATTGTATGACATGATTATTTATTAAGGACAAGACTTGTCTAATTTATTAAGAATAAAAAAAATTATAAATAAAGATAATAATTCTGTTTGAAATAAAATTCAAAATACATTTGAGATTTTCTATTCACTCGTGATCTGACCTGGTTGACCCAATCATGATATTTCACTCATGATCTGGCCGATCCAATCATGATATTGAAGGGATTGGGTACACTTAAAAGTACATTTAGAAGCCCAGCTTAAAGAACAAAACCAGTCTATTTAAAGTTAATTTTTTAATTTAATTGAGTTAAGTAAAATAATTATATATGCATTAAAACTATTACTTATGTCTAACACACCTTCTATATTCTTATTTCAAAATATCAAAATATCCTTAATTCCTAAATCAAATAATTCTTTCATTTATGAAATTTATAAAAACAAGGGCTCTGCTTGATTGGAACTCGCAGAATAGTTTTCTGTTCTGGGAGTTTCCAAAATTCAGAAAACCAATTTTTGTTCTACTTGGACCTGTTTTCATAGAATAGTTTTTTAAAAACTCAGAACTCATAGTATCAGTTTTTGGAGAACAACTTTTAGGTGTTCTGAGAGTTTTGGAAACTCAGTTCTCATTTTTTAGAAAACACGAAGAACGCCCCCGACTTGAAAAAAAATGATGGTACTTTCACGCTCGTTTAAAACATTCATCCTTCATCAACCCTCTCTCTCCTCTCTGATAGAACTCACGACTCGCTCTTTCTCAACCGACTCACAGACTCATCATCATTCTTCAGCATCCACTCTCTCGCCCCATCAGTAGATCAAGAATCCCTTCAGGTAATCTTCAATCGCTGTTTCTCAAACAAAGCCCTAAAAAATACACCATCTCTAAGATTCACTCTGCTCTTGTTATCGATCTGGTAAAATAACTTCGATTTGCTTCTTTTTTTTCCTCTAGTTTTATTGTCGATTTTGTTGGCTGAATTTGCTTTGGTTGTGGCTGGATTTTGGTTTTCTTGTTTTCCATTTTGTTATTGATGGGGGTTTCTCTTTATATATATATATATATATTGTATGTGCTTGACCTTTGTCTAGTAAAATTGATGCAGTCCATTCAAAAAACGAATTAGGGACCTGTCTTTAATTTTTTTTTGTTTTTTTGTTCCCTGTTTGGAAAACCCATAAACAGATAACTATGAATTTTTTTTCTTCTTGGGAACAGATACCACTCTTGGAGAATGCTATGACTATATATATATATATATATATATATATATAGACACACACACACGTGTTAAATGTATATGTGATATTTGCTTGCAAGAGGTTCATGCTACATTGGGCTATATACACCATCCCCTTCACAACCTTTCTGCGGATTTGGACTGTAAGACCATTGATGTGGAAAAAAAAAAGTAAGACCATTGATGAGTGGGTTGCGTATTTAATTGTCTCCTGAGGATCCTAGTATTTGCGAAGTTGAGTTTGAAGATTGAATTGTGAGGAGGGCAGTGAGAGAATCAAACTATGGAGAGTTGATTCTGTTCTTGTATAATAGCTAATTTAGAGCTAATTTATGATATATGAGCATTGCTGCCCTATTTTGTTTTCAAATAGCTTATTTAGATTGAATATTAAATATATTTACTTTAATTTAGACTATATATTAAATAGCTAATTGTAGCATTCTTTTTTTCTTGACATTCTTACCAATAATTGTAATGGGGTTTGAATTAAATTAATTTGTTTAGATAATTCTAGATGCCCTCTCTTTATTTTTCCTATGTTAACCTTAATTCTCTACTTCTACATAAACTCTTCTAAGTCTAGCTTGTACAAAGTATAGAAAGTATTTATACATTATTGTCTTTGATTTATTTTGTCTAATGAAATTAACTGATTCATTTATTTTTATAATTGTAGGTAACACGATTCATAATTTTATTCGTCAAAATGCACTAGTTGGTTGCTTTTTTATGGAGTATGAAGAAGAAGATTATGTTATTGGTGAAGGGAATGCTAGCACAAGTCAAGGACCGAATGCAGTTAACTTCTATGAAGCAAAGTCTAGTGGGATAGAATCACATACCTTTACAAGTGATGTTCATCCAAATTTGAGCTAGATGATGTTCATCCAAATAGAATCACATATTTCATTTTTTTCCATGTCTTTTAAGTTTAGATGAGAAGTGAGATGGTTTATGTACGTAGACATTGGATTCATGTAATGTTATGAATGAAAGAAACCCAGAATACAAGAGCAGTTCTTTGCTACACAATTCCTATGATAAGATGGTTTATGTATGTAGACATTGAATTCATGTAATCTTATGAATGAAAGAAGCCCCATAATACAAGTCTTTTTTTAATTTTTAGTGCATTTTTTATTAATTTGAAAATATTTAAGAGTAATCCACATCTAATTTTTATAATGAATCTAAGAAATAAATAAAAAATAAATGAGTAATATTCTTTATTTTCATAAAACTATTATACCAATCAGTTTTATGAGTTTTTATTCTTCGAAAACTGTTTCGTAATTTTCCCAACCAAGCAGGTTGAAAAACTAAAAATTGTTTTCTGTTTTGTTTCTCTGAAAACTGTTCTTGAGAACTGTTTTTATAAATGCAATTCAAGCAAGGCCAAGATTTTTTAGTTGACTTTCAACTTGGCATTTTTGCATATGGTGTATATATATATTGACAAACTAAATAAAAAACAACATATATATATATATATATATATATATATATATATATATGATATAAATTTTGTGCAAAAAACTTTAACAGTATCTCCTAATCTATATTCTTTCAAACATGCAAATGTCAATTTTAAAATATTTAATAATTTAATAAAAATTCATTATATATAGATTTTTTTTGGTAAGCGAAAATTTATATATATATACATATATTTAATTTTATGTGTACATAACTTTAACCATATCTCCTAATTCATACCAATATAAACTTGCAAATGTGAAAACTTTCATATGAAAAAATATATATATACATATATACACGAATAGTGCACACGCACAAAAGAGGGAGGTCATGAAAAAACTAAATGGTTGCTTCAGTGAATGGTACTTCAACAATTATTTTTTTTATTTATAAAACAAGGGTAATTAATTGAACCAAAATATTAATGATCATCTCAAAGCATGCACTACAATAAAGACGATTTATATATTCTTGAGTTTAATTATATTTTTCTTTTTGGAGACTAACTTTGATTGCACCATCTTTTACTATATTGAATATTTTTTATTATTTGTATAAGTTATCGTGTGTATATATATTAAAGTTGCAGCAATATAATTCAAAGTTAAAGGAAATAATTTTTTTTTTTTTAATTTTTAAGTAAAGAAATTATTTTAAGAAAGTACTTGATTTATGGGCAATAATTTTTAGTATTTTGCAAATAAGTGTTCGGAGGGCATTTTGGACCTAAACAATAGTTATTAATGCATATGTAATTATTTTACTTAATTCAACCAAAATGAAAAATGAACTTTTAAAATAGATCATTTTGTTATTTAAGACTCCTAACTATATGTAAGTGTAGTTTTTCCAAAATTCAATCACCCTCTCTGATTTTTTTATTTATCACTTTCCAAATTGTGCATTTGTAATTGGATCACATGAGCAAAATAACTTTGTTTGGAATAAAATTTAATCACCTCTCTAATTTCTTTATATATCATTTTATAGGTCATCCCTACTCACCGCTGGTCTGGTCCAATCACAAATACACAAATGGTCAGTACTTACAAAATCATCGTGTAGAGAAATCTTCAGTTGAGGTGGAGCTATAAAGAGCTTAAGGTAGAGTCTAAGCTACTGGTATGTTTGAACTAATTCAACTTAACTGGAGTGATGAGTTCATTGAGTTGAACTTTGACTACTATCTTAGTTGAACTAGTTCAAGGGCATGCACTTGAACCAATTCAAATGAGGCAGTGAGTTGCAACAAAGTTGAACTAGTTCAAGTGTCGTTGAACCGGTTCAACTCCCTTTGTAAGTTGCGGGAAATAGTTTCCTAATCAGTTTTAGAAGCCAGAAGACTTAAGGAAAAGGCTGAAGATTTAGGAAATAAGTTGTACTTGTTATTTTAGAGTTGAAGACGAATATGGTAACTCATTGTAGGCAAGTTAATCCTTGTCTAACAAGCAATTGGGTTTGAAGATTCTATAATTAGAGATAGGTATGAGAGGTTTAGAGAGAAAAAAAAAAAAATATATATATATATATATATAAGGGTGAGTGTTGTGAAAGAGGGGAGAGTATATGTAATTCCCAGTGTATATATGTAGTCTCAAAAAAGATGATGAGTGAGTTAGTGGGGTTTTGACATGTGGTTGTATATTCTTTTCCTTGATTCATAATAGTGAAATCTCTCTTTCCCATGGACGTAACTCCGGAATTGGGTGAATTGTGTAAAATATTGTGCTGTGCATAAATGTATATGATTGTTATCTTCATCTATGCCTGTGTTAATGTGATATAATGATACGTCCGTTATGTATAATGAATAAGGAATTTAATTTTCAACAACAACCGACTATTAAATTGATTGAAGGGAGTTAATTTTACCCGAACAGAATACGATCTAAAAAAATATTTTGTAAATTTCTAAAAATGTTCCATATTTTCAGAGTGTACTTGAAACAATGTTGTAGAATGCGTATGATTGCACAAAGAATCAGCTGATAATAATGATGTTAGGGTGATAATGATGCTCATGATAATAATGATGCTAGGGTGATAATGATGCTCATGTACGGCGAAGAATCCATATCGTTGCACAAAGAAAGAGAGAAAAAATGTACAGAAAACGAAGTGAAATCATACAAAGACATCATTCACACTGATTGATTTTTTTTGGTTCTCGCAACACCGTTGAGGTCTCTTTTCAGAATTGTTGATTCATCAACAAGAACGATCAGACACGGACCCATTAAGGGCTTAGTAGGGGTTGCCCCACTGAATTTTATTTTATTTACAAAATTACCAATAAATTTTATGAAAATTTAAATAAAGCCTCCACTCAATTTCTATTAACATCATACCATATATTATTGCCCCTCTCATGCAATTCTCTGGCTCCATCCATCACTGAACCCCTATGAAGCACCGACACATGGGAATGGGTAGTCGTACCAGTGTCGGACACATGTCCGACACGGACACGCGTGTCTAAGGCTCCAACACGTGTCTGATATCTCTGTAAAGGTGTCCTGTTTTTTTATCATATTTTTCATGCCGGACATGGCGAAGGACATGCCGGCGACACACATAGGACATGGGATTTAGATTTTTTCTCAAAAAAATAAAAATAAAATAAAGAGATATACATAGGCTAGAAGAGTGTAGCTCGATTGGGATCTTCCTGAATTTATCCGGCCGCAGCCGCAGCCACCAAACTGATTGATCAGCGAGAAGGTTTCGGATCAGATCTACTTTGTTCCCTTTCACACACTGAACTTTGATGGTGTCTATTCTACTCTCAGAGTTTAATCAACTTGAACACTTTGTTCTTGGATCTCTCTCTAGGAAATGATCGGCATGATGATGCTTCGGATCTGCTCTGTGACTCTCTCTCTCACACACCAGACTGTCGATCTGCTTTGTGGCTTTCTCTCTCATACACCAAACTGTGGTGGCGTACACAAGTGTGTTAATGCACTAGGGTTAAGTTGCTAATTGCATGCAAGCTTCTTAGTGAATGGGCTTGGGCTGAATGATGCTTGGGCTGTATTTTGGGGCTAAAAGTTGTGTTTCTTAAATAATGAGTCTAAAAGTTGTGTTTATTAAATATAAATTAAAAATTGAGTATATATATAAGTTGTGTTTATTAAATAATAAGCCTAAAAGTTGTGTTTATTAAATATAAATTAAAAATTGAGTAAATAATATATATATATATATATATATATATAATTTTATTGCCGTATCCTTGTCGTGTCCGTATCCTGTTTTTTTGAAATTTGCCGTATCGTCGTCTTGAATTCAATAACCTATGGTTCGAAGAACAAGTCTGGTAAGAAATCCAAGTCCGATGCCTAAACCAAACACACCGAAGATATTCAGCTATTGAATTCAACAACCTATGGTTCAAAGAACAAGTCCGATAAGAAATCCAAGTCCGATGCCAAACCCAAAGCACACCGAATATAACGACACCGAGGATGCCATACTGGACCTCGCCAGAGACGAGGAGGTTTGTCTCCGAATAATACAAATATTACTATTGCCTGAATTTAATTGAATTTCATAATACACATGTATATTATAATATGTTACAGGGCAATATATAGTTATGAAGGATGTATATAAAGTATGAACCACACGGGGAATCGATCAGAAGGCTTCTAATGGTGGTATCAGATCAACAATGGGACTATCAGAACAACATTAAGCAAAGTGTACGGCAAAAAGCCGTTTCTAAGAACATAACTCAAAAAATAAAAAATAAAAAAGAGGAAAAAAGTAGTAAAAATAATACTAAGCCATTCAAAATTATCAAACATAGCCTTGGAGAGCTAAAAAGTCAGAGAATTACTTACAGCACCAAAGTTGGCCCAAAGAGAACCATGAAGAGAACCATGAAGAGACCCAGGCTTCAAGGCCAAGCCCAAGAATACAACAACATTAGCCGAATAAGCAACCAGAAGACCGTTGATGGTCGATCAACAGCACAATTCAAATCGGAGCATGGAGACAATCTCCTCAGCGAGAGCGGTCAGGAGATTTGGCAGGTGGTCGGATGGTCGACGGAGGGAGGTCCCACTCTTCAATTACCCTTCTATTATTTTGAGTAGTTCTGATGGAAGATGAAAGAAGTTTCTGTCTAACAACAGTCTCCAGAGTTTGGTGAAGCAGGGAATTTGCAGTAAAGTGAAATTAGCGAAGTTATGTTCTCATTATACCATACCATTCCAAAGCCTCTTCCCATTTCCCCCCAAAACCTACAAAATGTTGACGTCTCTTCTCAGAGTTGTCAATTCAGCAACAAGAACACAACAGAGCATCTCGAACTTTCTAATCCCTGGTTCTACTACTCATCTCTTGAATTCGAGAACCTGTGCTTCGAAGATTGGATTTTTTGAGTCTCATCTTTAACTTTTGTACGTGTCTCAATTGAGTTATAAGAAAATCATCAGCAAGTACCATTAATTTGTTGTGTGTGTATGTCTAAACGATACTCAAAATATTGATTTTACTTGAATAAATTCCTATATGATCAAACAACCAAAATTCCAAAACTTTTATAATAATCTTTCCATGCTTTTACCATTAGTATTATATATATGAAGTTAAGCACCTATCATTTTCTCTCTCTTTTTTTATATAATATTAATTAATTCACC